AAGCATTTACAAAGGGATAGCTATGAAGTAATAAAACAGATTCTTCTGTATAGCTAATGAAAATCTTTCTATATTTACTGTTATTACATAGATAGTACAAAGGCATTTTAATATTTATAGTTTTTAGTTAAGTGAAATATTGGTTACCTCAAATTCCATAGCAGTTTAAAGAAATATTTAAATTTCATGTTTTTAGGTTCTCTATTCCTGAATAAAAGAAGGGCAGACTTCTTGCCTACATATCCAAGTCCACAAACAACTTGTTTTCTCCCCATGAAAAGCAAATGAACAAAGGAAACAGACAGGATCCAAATAAACACATGAGGGAGACTGTCTCCTAGACAAGTGATAAGGTTTAAGGCCATCTACTCTTACTGTAGGTGAGGGTATTTTTCATCTTTCCATTAAGATAACAGGAGTTATACTAAAAAAGAATCACAATGACAACAATAGTTTAGATTTTCATGGTGCTTTAGAATTTTCAAACTGTTTTCACATATTTTATTTCATTTGAGCATGCATAACAATCCTGTTTGGTGGATAAATAAGTATAATGACCTCCCTCCATTTTACAGATAAGGACATTGAGGCCCATAGAGTTTAAGTGGTCTTCTGTCACCCAGCTGATAACAGGAAGCTCAAATAATGTATTCTAGACCTTCAGAACAGCTTTTTGTTGGCCTTTGGGAATGCTAGCCTTTGGAAACAGCATGAAGCTTCTCAAGAATCAAAACTGAATAGACCTATGAAATCCTATCTCAAGATAAAATTTAGGAAAAAAGGGTGTGTAGATCAGTGGTAGACACATGCTAAGCTTTCAGGAAGCCTTGGGTTCAATCTCTAGCACCAAAAAAAGGGACAAATTACTGATTCTTCAGAGGACCCTCACTTCTGGGTGTATACTAAAAAAAAAAAAAAAAATCAACTAAATTCAATTACCTAACCTGCTGCATTGTGGAAATGAGCTCAGTCTTAGAACCTCCTAAAGGTTCTCAAAGTGGGACTCTTTCATGCAGCAAGCAAAGCCAAAACTATTTTCCTAATTATGCCAAGATGTTATTTATTTTTTTAGAAGTTGGTTACTATTTAAAATACTTCTTGTTTTAATTTTATCTTTTTTTTTTTTTTTCGGTACTGAGGATTGAACCCAAAGACAATCAACCTCTGGGTTCAGCCCTTTCTTAATTTTTACTTTGGGACTGGATCTTGCTAAGATGCTTAGGGCTTTGAGAAGTTGCTGACGCTAGTCTCAAACTTGGGATCCTCCTGCCTCAGCCTCTGGAGTGGATGGGTTACAGGAATACACCACTGCACCTGGCTCCTGCTCTAATTCCTGAGACAGTAAATGCTGACAGATAAAAATGCATACAAACAAAGTTCTTTTGGGCCCTCAGTAATTTTTAGGAATGTTGTGATGTCCTGAGACCAAAGTTTACAACACACTGTCCTAAACAACCTCAAGGAGGGTTCTGAAAACTGGAAAGAGGGACAGCAGATTTCCCTTCCCTAGTCAGTACTCATAGCCATCTCCTCCCTCCGACCAGCAAATGCTCATCTGCACTTAACTGTGGGATTTTCCCTTTAACCTTGATGCAGACTCCAAATCTTACCTGAAAACCTTGGTTGCCTGGTACCTGGTCTGCATCTGAGTCCGCAGCTCAGCTTATGCCCTGGGATTGCGCCTCCACCCAGCCTGAATGTCTGCACACAATTTCAGTCATTTTTATGGGGTGGACGTAGATGTCCATTTATTTTGGAAGGCCTGGTACTGATGGGGGTGCGGGGACATCCTGGACATCTGCTACAAGAGCGGAGGGGTGAGGAGCCTGAGAGGCCTCCAGGGAGTGAAGGCCCTGCACTTTCTCCCAAGGCCAGACACAAGGGAGTCGTGATGTATCGCCTGCTCACTGGGGTCACAGGGCTCAGGAGCCTCGGGAGGAAGCCCGTTTTGGCTAGCTACCCTCCACACGACCACAGGAACACAGGTTCCCGGGCCTGCCTCGGCCCTTGCTAGGCGTTGGCTTTCCCGGAATCCAGGGATAACACTCTGGGGGTAACAGAAGCAGGTTCAACAGCTTCAAGGCTCTCTCGGCCTTTCCCTCTCATCACTCCAGGCCAGAAAATATAGCCCTGGTTCTTCAAAGTCCCAAGTTCTGGGCCTCCGTAGTGAGGCTGAAGCAGACGCTGCGCCGGATCCTTTCAGTTCCAGCCTGGCTGATGGCGGTGAATGGCAGCCTCTGAGTCTGCGCAGTAGAGCACGCGGGGCCTGTAGCAGCTGCCAGTGCGGCTGCGCAGAGGCCTTGGGGCCGGTGGTGTCTTCTGACAGTGGTGGAGTACCACCAATGGGGCAGGGACGGGAGTGTGGGCTGTGCCAGGCACAGATAAGATTTGGTTGATAATAACTGGGAGGATGGTTTTTGTTGTTGGTTTTGTTGTTGTTGTTGTTGTTGTTGCTTTTTTTGTAGAGGGTGAAAATGTGTTGTAAGCATTGGCAACAAATACTCAAAGGAGCAGAGCCTGACATGTATGTATAAACAATAGTTTGAAAGACAATAGAGCTAGACTACACCTATGTATTTCAGATGGTGAGGAGGGAGATCAGTGAGTCACCCTTCCCTTGGACAAGAACTGCCAGGAATATCAATACTCGGTTCAGCCTTTGCCAAGCAAGTCTTGGGAATTGCCTGAGGCCACCCAGTGCCCACTGTCTGTCAGCACCTGAGTGGCCACCACAGTTTCCTATACTGCAGTGCCACAAAGCAGTCTTCTGTCTAGCAGGAAAGGTTTCTATCTGCCCTTTGTGACTTTCCCTTACTCTTGAACCACCATAGGTGAAATGAAGACCGTTTCCACAATCCTCTGAACACCTGAGTGACTGTGGTTGTGGATATGGAAAGCCCGTACAACCTGCATGTCTTAAAGACTTAGCTCAAGATTTATACATCTCAAGCCAAGCTAGAAGAGTGGCAAAATCCCTTTCTATTTACAGGGCAAAGGGCCTGAGACTGTGAAGATTTGATCTCAGGCCAAGGAAAGAACTTTAAATTCAAAGGAGCTAGTCAGGATTGGGCTGGGCATTCCTCCCTGGGAACTTGAATTTAAAAGACAGTGAAACAGAACAGGGATGCCCTCTTTCACCATTTCAACTTAATGAAGTTCTTGAAACACTGGCCAGAGCAATTAGACAGACAAAGAAATTAAAGGGATACACATAGGAAAAGAAGAATTCAAATTAGCACTATTTGCTGAGGATATGATTCTATGCCTAGAAGACCCAAAAAGTTCCACCAGAAAACTTCTAGAACTAGTAAATGAATTTAGCAATGTAGCAGATATAAACTCAACACTCATAAATCAAAAGCATTTCTGTATATGAGTGACAAATCCTCTGAAAGGGAAATGAGGGAAACTACCCCCATTTACGATAGCCTCAAAAAATAAATAAATAAAATACTTGGTAATCAATTTAACAAAAGAGGTAAAATATCTAATCAATGAAAACTACAGAACCCTAAAGAAAAAAATCAAAGAAGACCTTAGAATATGGAAAGATCTTCCTTGCTCTTGGATAGGCAGAATTAATATTATCTAAATGACCATACTACCAAAAGCACTATACAGATTTAATGCGATTCCAATCAAAATCCCAATGACATTCCTTTTAGAAATAGAAAAAGCAGTCATGAAATTCATCTGGAAAAATAAGAAACCCAGAATAGCTAAAGCAATCTTTACCAGGAAGAGTGAAGCAGGTGGCATCACTGTAGCAGACCTTAAACTATACTACAGAGCAATAGTAGCAAAAACAGAATAGTATTGGCAGCAAAATAGACTGGTAGACCAATGGTACAGAATATAGGACACAGAGACAAATCCACAAAATTACAATTATTTTATATTAGACAAAGGTGCCAAAAACATACATTGGAGAAAAGATAGCCTCTTCAACAAGTGGTGCTAGGAAAACTGGAAATCCATATGCAACAAAGTGAAATTAAACCTCTATCTCTAACCATCCACAGAACTCAACTCAAAGTGGATCAAGGACCTAAGAATTAAACCAGAGACCCTGCGTCTAATAAAAGAAAAAGTAGGCCCTAATCTTCATCATGTCAGATTAGGCCTAACTTCCTTAATAAGACTCCTATAGTGCAAGAATTAAATCAAGAATCAATAAATGAGATGGATTCAAACTAAAAAAATTACTTCTCAGAAAAAGGAAAAATCTGTGAGATGAATAGAGAGCCTACATCCTGGGAGCAAATGTTTGCCCCTCACACATCAGATAGAGCACTAATCTCTTGGGTATATAAAGAACTCAAAAAGCTAAACACCAAAAAGACAAATAACCCAATCAATAAATGGGCCAAGGACCTGAACAGACACTTCTTAGAAGATGATGTACAATCAGTCAACAAATATATGAAAAAATGTTCATCATTGCTAGCAAATAGAGAAATGCAAATCAAGACTACTCTAAGATTTCTTTTCACTTGAGTCAGAATGGCAGCTATTATAAAGATAAACAACAATAAGTGTTGACAAGGATGTGGGGAAGAGGGTACACTCATACATTGCTGGTGGGACTGCAAATTGGTGCAGCCAATCTGGAAAGCAGTATAGAGATTTCTTGGAAAATTGGGAAAGGAACCCACCATTTGACCCAGTTATCCCTCTCCTTAGCCTATACCCAAAGGACTTAAAAACATACTCCAGGGACACAGCCACATCAATGTTTATAGCAGCAAAATTCACAATAGTTAAACTGTGGAGCCAACCTAGATGCCCTTCAGTAGATGAATGAATAAAAAAACTGTGGCATATATACACAATGGAATATTACTCAGCAATAAAAGAGAATAAACTCATGGCATTTTCAGGTAAATGGATTGAGTTGGAGAAGGTAATGCTAAATGAAGTTAGCCAATTCCCCCAAAACAAATGCTGAATGTTTTCTCTGATATAAGGAGGCTGATTCATAGTGGAGTAGGGAGGGTGAGCATGGGAGGATGAGACAACTCTAGATAGGGCAGAGGGGTGGGAGGGGAAGGGAGGGGGGCATGGGGTGGAATGTGATGGACATCATCATTCAAAGTATATGTATGAAGGTAGAAATTGGTGTGAATATACTTTGTATGCAACCAGAGACATGAAAAATTGTGCTCTATCTGTTTAAGATGAATGGAAATTCATTCTGCTGTCTTATATTTAAAAAGTTAAAAAAAGAAAAAAACAAGACAGTGGAAGCCTGGCATGATGGTGCTAGCCCAGAATCCCAGAGACTGGGAGGCTAAGGTGGGAGGATTCCAGGTTACCGAGACAATCCGGGCAATTTAGTTAGACTCTCTCTCTCAAAAATCAACAAATAATAATAAAATTTTAAAAATTAAAAGGGCTGGGGATGTAATTCAGTGGTAAGCACCCTGTGTTCAATCCCTAATAATGGGAGAAAGCAACAAAAACAAACAAAAACCACAGGCAATGACAACCTTCAATAATAACTCTCAAAGCTCAAGGTACTGACTCACAGACTCCCACAAAACTCAGAGGTATGTCTATTTCCATCCTTTACAGTCTTATAAATATTGTCTGTACATCTCTCTGATTAAGAAAAAAATTCTTCTTTTTGCAACTTGGCTTTCCAATGTCCAGTCTAGATTGCTTAACTATTATTTTTTTTATGTATCTTTTAATGCCAAAGTAATCTTAACGAACCACACTGAATACAAAAGAATACAGCAAATTAACAAATTATTGTTCTGGTTCTCCTTTTGTTAAATCTAATGATTTTGTGTAAGCAAGGCTACTGACAGATTTATACACATGAAAGTACATTCAATTTCTGGCTCCACAGGTGACATTTAAGTTTGTAGAAATTTACATTTTCATGTATCTGTGGTCACTTGTAGTGCTAATCAATGCTACATATGTTAGATTAAACAAAGTACTAACCAATTCAAACAATAACCTTTGCATTGAAGATTCTAGTTAGAATCTCCCAGGTCAACTATTGAGAAGACTTATATTTACCATCAAGGCT